CTTGATAGACGAGGTAGAGTTTGTAAGTAAAGTCAGGTATAAGGAGAGCGTGTGGATGAAGGTTCGAGGTGGGAGAGGGAGGGAAGCATTGTATGTGTGCTGCATTTACATGCCTACAGATAATGCTTGTGCTTCTGTTATGGAGGATAGTTACATCAAGTTTAAGGAGGATGTGCTTGGATTCATGCAGAAGGGGAGGGTTGTTCTTCTTGGTGATTTTAATGCGAGGGTGGGTAGATCTACTGATGTTGATGATGTCATTGGGATGTTTGGGGAGGAGACTTGTAATGCCAGTGGAAATAGGCTGATTTCATTCTTGAATGAGGTGGAGCTGGTGATATGTAATGGTAGGAAGTTAGTGTCAGAGCCTGAGTGGACTAGAGTAAGGCCGAGCCTGCAGCAGAAATCAGTGATAGATTATATAGTTACGGATATGCAGTTGATGAGGGAATCCGGTGATGTACAGGTTAATATAACTGATATTGGTGCCTCGGATCATTTTCTAGTGTGGCTGGAGTTGGGCCGGGTTACGAAGTGTTGTAAAAGGCAGAAGCGGACAATAAGGAAGTGGCGTGTAGACAGATTTTTGGATGAGGGGGTTAGAGCGAAGTATAGGGAGGCCTTGAAAGCGGAGGTTGAATCTTTTTCAGAGAGCATCAGGGAGAAAGTGAGTGAGGGTATTAGTGGAAGTGGGTTAGTCAGTGCAGTTGTAGAGGAGTGGGAGCAAGTTGTAAAAAAAGTGGCAAAGGCTGAGGTAGGAGAGAAGGTAGTAGTGTGTGGCAGGGCAGTCAGGTGGTGGGATGACGAGATTAAGCATAAGATAGAGCAGAGAAGGGAGGCTTACAAGAAAATTCTTGAGGGTCAGGATTATCTATGGGAGGAATATAGTAAACTGCGTAGGGAGGTGAAGAATTTAGTTGTTCAGAAGAAGCTTGAGGTTTGGAACGAGGTAGTGGAAAGAGCAAATTTAGATTTTGAAGGTAATAGGAAAGAATTTTGGGCATTTGTTGGTAGAAGGACAAAGGGTAAGAGGAGGGGGATTACAGCTTTGAGGAATAGTGCTGGGGTGTCAGTGACTAGTACAAAGGGCAAGTTGGAGGTGTTAAAGAGGCATTATCAGCAGTTGGGCACTTGTAGTGTTGATACAGCCTTTGATGATAGTTGGAAAGAGGAAGTGGATAAGAAAGTGTGTGAGTTTCCAACAGATTGTACGGAAAATGTATTGGATAGGGAAATAGATTTGGAGGAGATTGCAGTGTGTGTTAGAAAGTTGAAGAATAATAAGACTGGTGGTAGTGATGGGCTTGTGGGGGAGCTTCTAAAGCATGGTGGGTCAGGGATGGTAGAGTTACTTAAACAGTTGTTTACAGTAATTTGGCGTGAGGAGTTTGTGCCACCACAGTGGAGGGAGGGCCTCATAGTTAACCTGTTTAAGAAGGGAGATAAGGAGGATCCTGGGAATTATAGGGGCATCACTCTGCTGAGTGTGGTTGGGAAGGTCTTTTGTAAGGTATTGAACAATAGGTTGGTGAAGCATCTGGACGAGGGCAAAGCATTGCATGAGGGCCAGGCTGGTTTTAGGGTTGGAAGGGGTTGTGTTGATAATATTTATACGCTGAATGAACTCGTGCAGGGTAGACTAAAGGAGGGGAAGGAGACATATGCATTCTTTCTAGATGTGCAGAAGGCATAGGAGACACAAACAACAGAAATAAACACACAACTAAGAAAATCATCCTCGATCCGGCCACTCCCCCCACCCGAGCCCGTCCTCCGCCACGACCGCCGAACAGCGACAACCCCCGTCCCTCCCCGCACCATAAAAACGACCACGAAGCAAAAAAAAGCATAACTAACTAGAACACCTGCAGCATACGGTAATGTACCAGTACCGAAACCCTGGAGCCGCTATTCAATCCAACCCGAAGATGCGACCGCTTGGCAGGGCATTCCTAGAGTGCCCCGATGGCGAGGAATGGGTCAGTCGCTAGAACCAAACCAATACTGCAAAAAGAAAACAATCGTAATAAGCACATATACCAAAGAATAACTAAAAACAAACCCAAAAAACAAACAAAAGCAATTACATAACAACCACTGAAAAGTAGAACCGCGTCAAGTCGTTTAAGCGGGCTCTGTGGCCCTAGTCCTCACCCTCCTCCCAAAACCCCTCCCCTACTACCTAACCCAGGGATGCCACCAAATCGGCTGGCATAGAAGCATCGGCTCCCATCTCGACAAGACCACGTCCCGGCCCACCCATCACCCCTCTAATACGATAGTGTGTATCGTAACGGCCTGTGTTAAGAAGTAGTTGTGGAATTTGGGGTAAGAGGGAAGATGCTGATGGGCTCATCAAGAGAGATTGTAACGAGTATTCAAAGCACAGAGTGCTGTATTGTTGGATGGGGACGGTCAGAGCATTTGATGTGGACACGTAGCTCAGGAGGTAGCTTATCTCCAATTGTTGTTTGTCCGTTTTCCCTATATTATCACTGGTGTTGAGGGAGGTGAGGAAGCTGAGATTACAGACGCTATAGATGTGTGCATGCCTACTGTCGAAAATGGAGGCTAAGCTAATGTGAGTTAGAGGTGCAGTGATGGTGTTCGCTAGGGAGTCAGTGGACGGTGCTTGGAAATGGGGGGAGTATGTTTTGCCTAAGTTATCTAATACACATCACTTGGTGTTGATTTTACTAGTACGTGGTGCATGGGATTGCATATCAAGAATGTGTTAGAAGGGTAGAAGGAAGGTTCAATCATTACTAGTGTAATTAGTATAGGGATATTAATTTGAGTGCTCGCAGGTTGTTGTTGCTGGCGGTGGTTAGGCCAACTTTAGAGTATGGGGGTGAGTTTGGGAAGCCAAGTAGACTCAGGCAGCTGCATTAGAGTCCGTTATGCTGGGAAGAGCTAGCGCATTCTTGGTGTTTCGTCTACTGAGCCGTTAGGGGGGATATGGGGCTTGATGTTCGCGTAGTTGATAAGAATAAGTTGAAGTGGTGGTATAAGTTAGCGGCATTGCCAGGCAATAGGTATCCGAAGAAGCTTTTTAATCAGGAATGGAATTTTAAGCACGGAGAGGCAGGCAGAGGAAGGGTTGGAGTAAGGTCATTGATGATCTCTTTTCGTCATTAGGTCTTGACAAGGCAGAGTGGTTGCATGATATTCAAAATGGGGATTGTTCCTTGAAGGGCTTTCTGTCTATAATAGGGGACAGTATTAATGAGAGGGAGATTAGAAGTTTGAAGAGGGGCTAAATAGCAAAGTAAAGCTGTTATTGTATAAGACATTTAACAAGGTGGTAGAGTTCATAAAGTACTTGCATGGGAAAAGTGATGCTGGGTCTAAATTAATGTTTAAGTTCAGGTCAGGCACGCATGGGCTAAATGAGGAACTGGGTAGGCGTAGGGGGAGGGAGGGTATGAAGGAGTGCCTGTTGTGTGATGATGAGTGTGAAAGTGTGAGTCATGTGTTGTGGGAGTGTCCAGCATATAGTAGTCTTAGGAGCAATTTCTTAGTTGCCCTGCAGGGGAAGTTTGGGGATGATGGGTTTGAGCATTTCCAGTCGCTTGATAGTTTCAGGAAAGCATCCTTTATATTGGGTAGTGAACTGTGGGAGGATAAACTTGGTTCTTTGCTTGGCCTTGTTAAAGATTTCATTTTGGATGTTTGGGAGCTAAGAAAGGTTAGGTTAGTCCCCGCGTACAACAAACCCAGTCTCAGATTGCGTCTGGGGAGCTGCAGGGTGTCGCTGGTGGAAGGGGTGAGTTGAGGTGTCTGGGAGGTGAGACAGACACCTCATGTTCATATGGTGTATGTTCGTGTGTTAACGGTTCCGCCCATTGCTCTGGGTGTGTGGTCTATGGCCCTAGTACTATGGCAGCCACCTGAGTATTATTAACCCTCGGCGCGAATGCGCAGCGAGGGTTACAGTACTTGGGTCTGTGTGTGTGTCTGTCTGTCTGTCTGTCTGTTACTCTCAATCTCACTTCTCGGGTGTTTGTTCGTCTCACAAAGAATACGACCTACTAACGGGCAATGAAGGTCAGAAATTTCGAACGGTTTTCTCTGAAACTGCTCCGTTGCAAAGCTAGAGCGCGAAAAGCCAATATGCAAATACGCAACGGACGGGATGGCTTACCACAGTCCGATCGATCCGCGGGCTCTGCGTACTTCGGAGGTACCAACGCAGGGCGTGTATCGCCTCTCGCATGTAGTTAGCCCGCGTCAGACTCTGCGCGAGCTGGCAAGAGACCACGAGTAACAGCTAAAACTAAACCCTGCCCATCAATTAGTAGAACTGCGCATGCGTTTACTTACGCGTGCGCGTCACAGTGCGCCGAGGGTTTGCACTTCAGTGCTTTCATTATTTAATGGCTCGAAGTGCCTCGGAGTTCCAAAATAGAATTACTGAAGACTAATTCAAGAGAGCTATTCTCCAGAGTCAGGACAACCGTCTAGCTTGCTTCCCTAATTGACACAATGTGCGAATGAGGAGAAGGCAGCCCCAGTGCTCATTTATGATAGTAATGCACATCTAGAGGTCAAGAATGTGGGAGCACCAGCAACTGTGTGCGTCTCCGGTGTTAAGATTATGAAGGGGCCCATAAGGGCTCTGCTAGTCGCTATGAAAAGATGATTTGGGTATACCTGGTTTTTTTCTGTTCTGGATACCTGTTCCGGATTGCCTTGGGTGTTCATTCAGGGGTTGACATTACCTTAAGGTAGTACATGCTCCCTTTTTTATGCGGTTTAATTTTTGGGTTTTAACTACTGTTTTTAATGGAACTCCACCTGCTTACAGCAAACAAAGGTGCCTGCAGAAATTAGCTCTAAAGATTTCTTGATGAAGAGAATATGAACAAGTGGTTGGGACAAATGGTTGGTTTGCAAGCAATCAAAGTTCCATTAATGCTTGAACACTACCTCAATAATATAGCTCCCACACATAGTTTAATGATTAACAAACCAGTTTAGGTAATTTTTACGCTCGCATAGTTTGAATTAGTAAATGTGGTTATGTAGTCTCAAGTTCAATAGTATACTTAATAACCTATTTAACCACATTCAAACCAAGCAATGTAATCTGAGCTGTAATAACGAAAAAAATTAACAAACCGATTTGAGAAACGGGTGGAAGTGATTCGAAGGTATGTGGAGATGAAAGAACAGGGGTAGGAGGAAGTTGTCTTAGAGAAGTAGGATGAAGTGGTGAGAGAACAGGTGCTTGTGATGCTGTCAAGCTAGTCTGTGACACTGTTGGGGGCAACTTTGTTGAAACATCCGTTAATGCTGCAGTGGAAGATACAAATAAGTTTATGCTGAATAGTTGTGTCATAAGGACCTAGTCATATATGCAATATATGTTCAAGTAAATAAGGATATTCTACAACATTGAAATGTATTTTAGATACACTATCTTAGGCTATTTGTTGTTGTTTACAAATATGTAATCGTCATGGAGATGATATAATACATGCATTCTAATTTTCATATCCATGCGTGCAAGTTTTAGGAGTTAAGAATAAAATGTCATTGCCAAACAACATAATGCATACCGGGTTTCACTCAATGCATGTTACTGTTAGCAAGGAGCGAAGAAGTAATTTTTTTGCAAATTAAGTGTCATGGATGAGTTGCGCTACATATTATGTGTGTGCACATGAATTACCATTAGAAGGTAAGCTCTAATGATAAACAATTTCATCAAAATACATTGCCTAAGGCTTGTATGAGTGATTGAATAATTATATATTGTTTCATTCGCATAGCTGTTATCATTTGTTAGTTACAGCAACACATGTGTCCTGCCTTGGGCTATTTGTTGGTGTACAACAAGCAAGAAGTACGACAAGTCTCATTGGACTGTGACTACGTATTTAAATTTCAGTTATGTTATATGGTTTTGAGTTCAATCTGAAGCAGATGAAAACCCCCGATCATAGCGCCCATATACTACATTTATAATTATGATGCTAGGTATATACTATGCCCATCCCTATATACTGTGTACTACCGCACTTAGTGATCTAAATGGCCAGTTAACACCTACTTTCTGAGTTAGCCATAATACGTAAAACATAGTGAAAGTAAGCGGTCTTCCTGTGACCACGAGAAAGGCAATCTCGTGTTCTGCAAAAGCGCTTAGAGATATGGTATGCTAGCTATACATGCTTCCCCAGTAACATAAATTTTGACATGCACTTGTGTAAACAGTTTTATTTAAAAGGCTGAATTCTTCTTCATAGGTAGCAAGCCAAGTTGGCACATGATGGCAGACAGTCTTAAACTAGTGGAGATGGTGTAGTTTTTACCACTCACAGGCGTGATGTATTATAAAAGTGGGATATGACACATTAAAAGTATTATTAGTGGCATTATGGTTTCATTTTTTGTTGTTTAGATATTAATGTTTTCTTTGACAATAGTACCATCAGTGTACTAAGATTCAGAGGACTCAGCATGAGCAAGTTATAGGTACAGTGGGTCCCGGACCCACGGTGCATCCAAAAATATGATAATATTCGGGATATTCTACTAGGAATGCGCACGCGCATATTTTGCCTCGCGCCTGCCAGCCAATGCGTAAACAGTCCCACTGAGGCTGCTCGTGTGCGCGCTCTACTCGAAGCCAGACTTTCTACGAATCTGCGCGCACGGCGGAAGCTAGACTTGTTACGAATGACGGAAGTTGACATTCCCAAGCGTGACTAATTTACATTCCTAAGCGTGATTAATTGACATTCCCTAAGCGTGACTAATTGAAATTCCCCAAGCGTGACTTATTGACATTCTTAAGCGTGACCAACACGTACGTACGCATGTCGCGAGAATACAACCAGGAGTAGTAGCCTCGTGCTACAATAATGCGGGTGCGTATACTGTGTATACTCCGGGTGTGTATACTGTGTATACCAATTTATAATGTGAACTATATAGCGCACAATGCAGTTTTTTTAGCTAAGCTAATGAAGCTAGGCTAGCCCAGCTGTTTACATAAGCTAATGAAACCAGGTGGAGAATGGAGAGCTGCAAAACTCCAGCCCAAGGTTGTAGAACGCCTAATTACGCATGCGACAATATGCGGGCAAAAACCAAAATTGCTCAATTTTTCTCTGGTAATAGGCGGGATATGACATTATATACAATACGGAGTAAAATGTATGGGAAAGCATAGGAAATGGTTTTGGATTTCAGGTTTGTATGATTATAAACGGGATATTCTATTAAACGGTATGATATTAAGTGGGACCCATGGCCACTGTGTATACAAAAAAGTTCTTATTGCTGGAAGCTGTTTATTGTTTTTTATTACAAACTTGGGAGGAACTCTTATTAAAGTACATCAGTGTATCAAGTTTCATTGTTAGAGAACAATCATAAGCAAGGTATAGGCACAGACACCTTTTCATTTGTTTTGAAGAACTCAGTTACAGCCTAAATGCAGTTTACTAATTTTTTAATGGCCTGAGTCTGTTACAAACTTGCTATTCTGTTTTGGTCAACTATATCATGGTAAATCAGTGAACAAAGCTTCATTGTTACAATACGCATGCTGTGCATAGCTCCTATTGTTTTTCGTGCCTGAGGCTGTTTTTTGTTGTAGTATTTGCATCATGTACAGGTTTGATCATAGCAAGTACGCCATCTGAGCGTGCAAGCGTGCAGAGCCAGTTGGCCATTACTATGTGCATGCCTCTGTAGCAACAAGAGCACAATGAAAATGCCGCCCTTGTAGGAAGGCTTTGTATAAGCACTACTTTTTTTATGATGGAAATCCAATTTGGTGCTACTACTAACCAAACCCTATACTGGGGTAACATGGCCGGGGTGAATATTTTTCATTAATATGCCCTCATGCAACCTTTCATGAACTTTAATCTTTGTGTGCAGTGTATAATTATTACCTGGTTTTTTGGACACACTTGTTGAAACTGAAAAAAAATAAAAAAACAACTTAAACTAGCTTTGTTGAATACAATATTAAAATCGTTTCTTAGGTATATACATGCTTGTATGATGACTGAGAGTAAGATCATAGTCCAAACAATGTAGATGCGTAGTGAGCGCTTCCTGCTGAGTGTACGGGTAGTTATAACATAAAGAGGCCATAGAATTTCCCCATACTTTAGCTGTATGTCAACTCATTTGCATAAACCACAGTGGGTGTATGGTAATTATACAATAGCAATTTTAAAAATTGTATTTTCAGTCCAGCAGCGAAAAAAATAGCTTTGACGTATGTACCTGTAACGTTGAACTCTCGAGAAATGACTGTTGCTTATCAGTAAAAACTGCGCATTCAAGGTATGGCGGGAGACAAAAACGAGCCAGAGGGGCAGGTATAAAACTCACGCGTTGGGTCCAGCAGCGAAAAAAGTAGCCTTGATGTACCCCTTGTTGCTTATCAGTCAAAACTGTGCAGCTAAAGCGCTTATCGCAGCTGTCTCTCTTTACTAGCTAGCTCTCTCCGCATTTACACTAGGTGCTGTGTGTTAAAAGAAGGCATTTTGAAAGCTTTTGCGGAATCTCATTGGTTATGGATGATCACCGCCAAAATTAGCCACTGGATAGGAAGACGTTATTTTGATCAAGACGTGGTGGTTTTGTGATGTGAGAGGTGGTACAGGGGTTCCACCACACAGAACATCGTTTTTATGGCTGTATTCGTTGTCACCGTCGGTCAGGTATTCTAACCCCCTGTGGATATGAATATCCACAACCCTCCACCCGCTCCCCCAACCCCAGGAAATTGTCGGGTGCGGGCCAGTGGTGTACCAGAATATACCCTTGTATGCAGCACTTTCATTTCTATGGCATGGCTTCTGGGTTACAAAGCTAGGTAGGTTTTTACCACTGATCACAATCACAGTGTTTTGCCATATTGGATAAGGCTAGAACCATACATCAAATGATAAATTTATTAACCTTGGCCTTCTGTCAGTAGACCCCTAGGAGCTTTGTCTCTGGTTAGAAACACATCCTACAAAAATATATTGAAATATTATTGGTTAAAGCTTGGTTCTAGCTATAATGAGAAAATGGAGAGCAATTGTGGGTGTAAAGGTGTAAAGGTGTAGCAAATTGTAAGAGTGTCTCTATTTTACTGTCTTATTATGCCTCGTTGCACATGTGCAACATAAGTCATAGGAATGGTGTAGTATACCCCAAACTCATCTTGCTGTCATATCAAAATGTCGGTTGACATCGCCAGAGAACCGGCTGGCTAAGGCACCATAAAGAGCCAGCCGACGGGCACTGGATTTGACGATTTCGTGTCATCATATTGTTCGTCCTTTTCTTCTTTAGTAAACCCGCTATCTCTTTACCGGAAGCAATTGAAGCGCCTATTAAACGTCTCATTCGCCGGAGGTGTGCACGGACATTGAGCGATCGTCCATCTGTTGTCGCCCGTCACTGTGGTAGATCGCTGAGCTCTTCACGGAAAGGCACTGAACGATGCCATTTGATGCCAACGCCGTTTTGTTTTTCAGTCCGATTTGCATGCCCGCACGGTCGGATCGGCAGTTTTCCCACGTTAGTGTTCCCGAGGGTTCTTCACTTCGTTGTACGTGACCTCAGGCAGTGTGTTACTAACTGCGTTGTATATCATCGAATATGTATAGAAGAGCCGACTCACAATCACAGTGAGCCATCTTTCTGGCTGCGTAGGAGCACTAGTTTCGCGGAACCAGGCGCTCCAGGGAATGTGTCTCCACAAGATTATATTGGAGCACTACAATGTATGAGCTGCGTACTGTCCAATGCTGGTAATGATATTTCTGCAGTCTGGACTTATCCTATTGTTTGGTAGGTAATTGAGGCAAACGCAGGTTGACCTAATTAGCTATTGTTGTACACACTATTGTATCAGCATGACCAATGACACAATGTCATATTGCTACTGCCACCTCAACTCTCTCAGTACAGCCATGCTATCAAAATTACAAATGCATAACATCTCATTTTTGTTGGGGCTTCGCCGCAAATCATAATAATGAGTGAATCAAGTGGAAAAATCATTTCTCTTAAATAAAAGAGGAATGTAGGGATGTCACATCATGAAAAAGAAGGGAACTACAAGACACCTACACTGAGAAAGAAAGTCATCGATAACCCCATCCCTACATCTTTGTTTCAACATCCAAAATAATATGTTTATTAATCAACATGTTCATCAAAAACGTTTTTCAAAGGTGTAGGCACTTCTATAACCCTGTAACTTCAAAGAAACACGACAAAGATGTAGGGATGGGGTTATCAATGAGTTTCTTTCTCAGTGTAGTGTCTTTGTCTTCTAGTTTCCCCTTCTTTTTCATGATGCGACATCCCTACATTCCTCTTTTATTTTCAGAGAAATGATTTTTCCACTTGTCAAACTACAATTGTCAATGTCCAGAGAAACCAAGCATACTGTTTTCAAAAAGAACAATATAATTATAAGTAGTCAACAAAAATAAGGAGCATGTTGTCAAACTAGGTTACTAAAATTTCTACTTTTTAACTTCACCATTGTGTTTACCTTCTTTGCCCTTTTCTTCTTTTCCTTCCTTCGAACTCTGCTATCTGTATCCAACGCTTTACTTTCAAGAGTACTTTTAACCCCAGAGTGTACTTGTGCCACTTCCTGATGTGCCTATATAAGAAACTTTCTTCCTTACAGTTACAAAAAAGGTTTTACTATTGTAGTTACAGCAAAGAACTATAATTATATCAATGCTTACTGCAAAAGACCTGCTTTAGACAAAAGTCACCCATTACAATTCACTCTCAAGCTCACTCGCAGTAATTCATTATACACCTTCAAAGGTATTAACAGACCTTTTTTTCTGCAATCTCTCTCAATTTTGCTTCATGTACACTGCCATATATCGCTATTCCAAGATTATTTAGCAGTGGGTTTTCAGCAAACTCCTTCTCAATGTTCACTCTAGAAGTAAGAAAAACCAGAGTTATGTTGTCTGCTTCAATTCTGTCAGCTTAGCAAGTAATGTGTGATTGTATGCTTTCGTACCTACAATATTTAGCATAGTATTGTGAAGGACTATTTGGGCTACAATGTCTTTACAATCGAAATGGAGGAGCCTGTTCCTCCACAAGGTACTGACCATACCAATCAATTCCATTTCGTGCAATATAGAGTGCTTCACCTAAAGTCCTGATGAAAACATCTGCAACTTATACATGCTTTATCTGCTGGTATTACGTACGTATCTGTGAAAACTGTAAACCTCCCTAGAAAAAGGTATTTTGTTCTTTTAACTTGGGTTTAAGTACATGCTTCACACAATAGTGATACCCACAATTTTATATTGTCTTCTATTCAATTGCTATACGCGAAAACATCTCTGTATCTTTCTGCATGCATTATTTTGAGATTATGACAGTGACACAGCAGCAAAGTAGGAGGGGCTGTTTGGGGTAGATGGACTAAAATGAAAAAGGTAGATGCACTTTCATAGTTTTAAATCGTATAAAAAGCAGTTTTACCAAAAGCATATAGAGTTTTAGTGATATATACGTAGCAGCAGAAATGTATCATTTCAAACATACATACTATCTACCTTAATTCTGCTGTAAATTTTGGTATCCATCCATTTCTAGTAAAGAGTTCATGTCGAAGAAGTTGTGAACAAGAAGGACGGTCTGATGGATCAAGTCGTAGAGCCCACTGCAAAAAAAGCAAAGCATAATGCGTTATGTGCATGAATAAACGCAACAAGGCATGTAGATAATGAGGCAAAAGACAGGCAGAACTTAATAAAGTACTCTATGATTATAGGCTTGTTAACTTACTTGACGTTTAACCCTTGATGTGCATTCAAACACTAAGCGTAAATGCAATACAGACGCTGCGAGTTTTTTCTTGGTTTTTTTCACACCATTGTTTATCATGGTTTATCATCATTAAAATTCCATGTCTGTCTGTCTGTCTGTCTGTCTGCTCTTCTCAATCTCGTATATCGCGCTATGACATGTGCAACAAATGACACTTAGATTATTAAATATGATAATGAAAAGCCGTTCTCTTTAAAAGTGATTACCTAATCAGTCAGAGCGCGTTCTGTTTACCATTGCCAGTCTGCTCTTATATAAAGACTGACACACGCATGCGTTTTTGGGGTACTACGCGCATGAGGATGCAGTAGAAAAATATAGCTCACAATCTCCTGCTCCACTAGGTCCAAACACTCTTCAACAAATGCACTGTGTTTAGTCTATAGCTATCCTCATTTTGTTTTTAGAAAATTCCAAGTGTGATTGAAATAGCTATTATATTTTTTGCTTATTGAGATGCTGCAGGAACATGGTTCTGTGCCGAGGATTTTTCTGTGCTTTTTCATTTGTTTATTAGTTGCTCATGCACATAAATGCAGTGCATTTATGCCAGATTTTAAGCCTATACCTTCACAATATCCATGGAAGAATGGGACAACTGATGATACCTCCTATCTAAACTCTCCACTTCTCTGGCTTCAGGTAATCTCATACCAATAAAGAGAGGATTTCGGCGGAATATTTCTCGGTGATGACCTATGAGGTTTCCTATAGAGGCATAAAAGAAGGAACATAAGAGTATGAGATAAAGATAGCTATATGACTAGACACAAGGTTAGGGTTAAACACAAGCCAATTGCAATACATTATGATCCAGGACAATATTTTGTTCAGAGAAGGAGCGCGGACCTACGACACTCTGTTCCCTAGTTAAGTGCTCCACCCACCAAGCTACCAGGGCAACTTCAGTGGGGTGAGCGCAAGTCTGCAATAAATACAACACAAGCGTAGGCAATGGCAAACCCCAAATTATCTGCTAAAAGCATAGAGATCCTTCACTTCAAAACTAAGTTTGGCAGTACTTATACAACTACAAATTTCATATAATAGTGAATAGGGATGCTACAAAAAAATATATAGGAGACAAGACAGGGATGACCTACAGAAGAGATTTTCAGTAGTAAAATGGATAATGGCTCCATACTCCAAACTGACATTGCTTGCTCGTGAAATGTTTCCTCGACACAAGCACATGCATTGAGACTTCCTCATAATACTTAGTTTGATTGCATATCCATAAAAAAAGTGAAGCACCAATCTTTCTTCACTCCTAAAAGTAGTAGGCATAGAGAAATTATGGTAATATAATAATTAGTTGTTTGTAAAATTCTTCAGGCACTATTATTAAAATACTTCAACCTGGCACGCTGGACATTAGTGCACATGTGTAATGCATGTTCCCAATGAACTTTAATTTTTAATACATAGCCTCAGAAAAGTTTCCTTAAAAGTTCTTCTTGTTTACAATCTTGCCAAGTAAACTTGGTAAAATTCTCTAAGACACTTTAGAACTGTAGAGTTAAACCTAGGTATGCACAACAATATTTAGAACATTTCCATCTTATAGGAAGTAGACTTAGCCATTTTTCAGAGAGACATACGTAAGAGGAGACAAAAACATAAGAGGGTGGAATACGGGGATGGTAGGTAAAAAAGCATGTTCACATTACATACGTACAGTATTGAACACCTAAGCCAATCACATAATCCTTACACCGTTTGATCCTAATACTAATGTAAAAGAGTGGGAAGGTTTCATTTTTCTGTGTACCAAACACCATCATGTATAGGCTAATGTAAGGCCACCGTGGAAGTCAAACTAGTTTCTATGGTACGTAGCTAAGCGTACAATGCACCCGCAATTGAGCTACTGGGCTGGGTCTTGAGACCATAGTACTATGGTTCACGATATAGGGTAGTCTCTCATTTCCAGGAGTTCTTTATCTTCTCCGCAATGTATACATACGCTCAACTTTTGAACCATGACCAAACGGGGGTCACTGACAGGTCCATTCCAACACTGGCCAAATTTGGATTTCCGTAAAGTTCACGGCTTGATAAGCAAGTGAAAAGCAAATGGCTTATCTCAACTGATCTGTGTACCTAGGAGGCACAAGTCACAACGGACGGCATGTATGAAGTCCTGCATGCCACTAACTAATATAGCTAAGACTCTTTGCGAGAAAAAATAATGCATAGCCCAGCCCATCAATTTAACCGTGGTTTGAGGTTCGCCTTTGACTTGTGTTGTTGTAGATTTGAACCCATACCAGCTAAGTTGCCCTGGTAGCTCAGTTGGTAGAGCGTTCGCCTAGAAAGCAGTGTGTTGTGGGTTCAAATTCCACCTACGTACGCAGGTTATCTCCTATTTTTTCCTTGAAAGAAGAGTGGCCCTGGGTATAGTTTACTTGTTTGCTTCGTCTTTGTTTCTACCTCATCTCGTTGTTGACACATTCGAGGATTTGCACTATGTCACATACCTTTGTACATACAACACCAGACAGTATTATGCAGTTCAATTTGCTTCTTCAGCATGCATCTCAGCATTCAATACTTCAATCATAAGCTAGTGGCAGCTACATACTTTCTGCCTGGATATGGTATTAAATGGTGTGAATGCTCAGCTAAGGGTGGCAGTACTTGGTCTGTGTGTGTTTGGACTGCTCTTATTCTGGCGATTCTCATGTTCAAGAAATGTGAAAACAAGTGCAAAAGCCAATATGCATAACACTGGCTTACAGGTAACCTTAAAGAACAGGCCATAATGGGCGACTACCGTCCACGCCCATTATGGCCGTTCAGCCAGTTCAATGCACTGCCGAGAAATAAAGTTACTCGGAACAGAAGTCCAATGTTGCCACCTCCTGATGCAGCTAGTCTGTGTGAGAATGAAAAACTGGCTCTGTCGCAACGAGTTAGGCCCGGTTCTCAATTAGCATTGCATCTGTACTGTGTACATCGCGCCAACTTTAGTGCTTTTGAGTGGTGGGGAGCAGCACCCTCCACAACCATCCCTTCCTTCCCTAAATCATCCTCAATACTTAAACCTGTGCCTGGGTCCGTTTTTGAGTATAGTTGGAGTAACACTAAACAAAAACCACACACAGTTTTCCTTACCAAAGCATTTCATAATTAGATGAAGCTGGTCAATATCAGATTCTCCAGGAAATAAAGGCTCCCCAGTCAGCATCTCGGAAAACATACATCCAATAGCCCACACGTCTACTGCTCTGAAAACAAAATGCCACAAGACCTGATTAATAGCCACATGCAAGGGTAGATAATACACATGGGTCATTGCCACTTTTTTCGTGTTGTATTAATGGCCGAACGATAGTGAGCCAAATGGTAGGAAACATGGTGGGCTTATCAAATTAGTGCAGTGGTAACTGTAAGACTGTGCACATGTATACCTGTTCATCCCCTCTCTACCTGTTCTAGTTGCGTTTCGATAGGTACTACGGGTTGTGTGTCATCGGCACTGGTCAGTAGCCATAAAAGATAATGACCAATTGTTTGATTGGAGAGCACGAGCGAGCTTACCTAGTGGCACAAACAGTACGATTTTCTATACGACCATACATCGTCCAACTATGCATGCGTTTGGATTATGCCCTTCGTTTCCTCCGAAATGATGCTGGATGATCCTCGATGCGTGATGAGAACCGTTGTCTACTCGGCGGCATTCACTGCGCTATTCTATGCCTGATCGAGGCTGTACATCTTTCAAATATTATTTGTGGTTCCAAGATGCAAGTCAAGTTGTAAATAGGCCAGGGTGGCTCGCGCAGATACAGTTATTATGTGCTCGCTCCTGCTTGCCAAAAAAGCTCTGCATTTGTCTCCTAGTTTCAGAGTTCTATCCTTATGAGCCCAATCGACTGCACCATCCCTGGGCAACGCAGGAACAGTTAATCAAGAAATCTAAACTGACAGTAGTGCTTCCTTTACAATGGAGTGGTCCTGCCTCAGTGGGGTTCGGGAGATTGAAGGGACCGAAACCTGTGACCCACCCGATGATCTGCTGAGGAGCTCCTCTATTGCCTGGTGCATTAGGTAAACCACAGTAAAACTGGAAAACAGGGAGGGCCCCTCAAGTTTGTGGGTGTGGGGAAGATAGTGGGACGGCAGTGTATAGGTATAATTAGTGTACCACGGACAAAAGCCAGTCAATACCTAGCCTCGTTCCAGCAAGCACCAATATCCTGCCAGTGCATACACATGTAGAAAATACCATGTGATGCCAAGGGAAAAAAGATGTGGAGCTCTGGACAGCTGTTTCGGGCTTGTTGGCCCTCATCAGCAGAGCATACCGCAACTTCTCTCTCTGGCATCACGGGTTTATAAAGGCTACCAGGAGAGCAGCACTTGTGGTTCTGAACTAATGAGATTCATCCTAACATTATACATCTACTTTGGTTTTAACTGTTTCCTTGAAAGTTAGGAAAATAGCTATCACATTAATATACCTTCCATAACAGGTGTCTCCTACTAACAATTCTGGAGCTCTGTACCATCGTGTAGCAACGTAATCTGTATAAACCTCACCTGGAGGAGCTAAAACGAAAAAAGATACCACAGTAAATATAATAAGCATACCGAAGGCTTTAGAAGTACACAAGCATGGAAAGGCCTTCCTTAAATGAGTGCATTCAAGAAATGTGGTGTGAGAAAGAGTGAAAAGTATAATGAGCAACTCGATCGGGTTTTTAATCACTCGGGCGAATAATGTTATGTAGGGGATGGGGTGTATCCAGTCCCACATTGCTCAAACTCAAGCTTGCTGTTAGTGAGAAACTAGCTACGTGGTGTTGGAATGGCTCAAAATTTTGCCTGGACATGCGCATTATTAATGCACGTTCTTTTGCGTCAAGGGACTTTAGTGGTTTCAATGTACAGCCAGGCTGCTTTATAGATAAAGCAAATAAAGGCTAATAAAATTACAAGTAAATTAAAAATCCTGCGAATTTAAAAAAAGAGGCATATAGGGATGGTATAAAAAGAAAGGGAGACAAGATAGGGATGGGATACATTGAAGCGTGGTTCATGAATAGATCTGATGCCCCCAACCCCATCACACAATCCCTATATTATTGCCTGGTGTGCTACTTCACCAAGGCAACAATATAGGGAGTGTGTGATGGGGTTGGGGGTGTCAGCGTGCTCAAATCTGTTCATTAACCATGCTTCTTGTCTCCTTTTCTTTTTATACCATCCCTATATGCCTCTTTTTTAAATTCGCAGGATTTTTTTATTTACTTGTCTTCGCTCATTTTTATATACTACTATGTGAAAGGGGGCAAGCCCCCTATAAAAATTAACAATAGAGAAAAATGCCTGTTGTCGTCATGGAAATGATGTAATATGCATGTATACCAGGTTTCATCTCCATGTGTGCTGCCGTTAGCAAGTTTGAGGAGTAAAGATGTATTTTTAAAGAAAAGTTCCTGAGGCTATTTGTTGTTGTGATTGTAATGGAAATTATGTAATACACATGCGCACCAAGTTTCACCTCCATGCGTACTATATTCAGTCAGCAAGTTTGAGGACTGAAGAAGTAGTTTTAAAGAAAATTGCCTGAGGCTTTTTCAAACAATAAGCGGTCATCATGGAAACATGAAATCATAGGCATACATACCAAGTTTCATCTCTATGCGTGCTACCATTGAAAGGGATTGTGTTTGTGGAAACACAGAGATGCTAGCGAGGAGTTAGGACTCCCACAGGTCATTACAACAGCCCTATATCGTCGTATCGGTGCTTTACTACTTCCTCGTGAATATATCAGCCAACCTTGCATACTTGAATTTTGTTTTCTTGCGTTACACAATTTTTCCATGTTTCCATGTATAAACATGTATATCCAATGTTATGGTTAGCTCATTACACTTCCACCTAAATGCGCACTCCATGGAAATGTAGCATGACAAATCTATCAAAGGTAATTAGTAAGTACTTCATTACCTATAGCAATATTCTACAGACTCTCTCATCACTCCCACTCCCACCCTACGAAGAAGATTGAAAACTTTCCCTATCATAGCCCCATACATCTATGATGCTAGGTATTCCCACCGTACGACGATATAGGGCTGTTGTAATGACCTGTGGGAGTCCTAACTCCTCGCTAGCATCTCTGTGCTTCCACAAACACAATCCCTATCTTGTCTCCCTTTCTTTTTATACGATCCCTATATGCACTCTTTTTTTAATCCGCAGGATTTTTTATTTACTTGTCACCACTAATTTTTATATACTACTACGTATTATCTCTGTGGAAGGGGGCAAGCCCCTATAAAAATTAATAATAGAGAAAAAATTGTCGTCATGAAAATGAAATGCATACCATCCATGTGTGCTGCCGTTAGTTTGACGAGTGAAGAAGTAATTATAAAGAAAAGTGCCTGAGGCTATTTGTTGTTGTGGTCGTCATGGAAACGATGTAATACACATGCGCACCAAGTTTCACCTCCATGCGTGCTATAGTTAGCAAGTTTGAGGAGTGAAGAAGTAATTTTAAAGAAAAGTGCCTGAGGCTAGTTGTTGTTGTGGTCGTCATGGAAACGATGTAATACACATGCGCACCAAGTTTCACCTCCATGCATGCTATAGTTAGCAAGTTTGAGGAGTGAAGAAGTAATTTTAAAGAAAAGTGCCTGAGGCTATTTGTTGTTGTAGTTATCATGGAAACGATGTAATACACATGCGCACCAAGTTTCACCTCCATGCGTGCTACAATTAGCAAGTTTGAGGAGTGAAGAAGTATTTAAAGAAAAGTGCCTGAGGCTATTTGTTGTTGTGGTCGTCATGGAAACGATGTAATACACATGCGCACCAAGTTTCATCTCCATGCGTGATACTGTTAGCGAGTTTGAGGAGTGAAGAAGTAATTTTAAAGAAAAGTGCCTGAGGCTATTTGTTGTTGTAGTTGTCATGGAAACGATGTAATACACATGCGCACCAAGTTTCACCTCCATGCGTGCTACAATTAGCAAGTTTGAGGAGTGAAGAAGTAATTTAAAGAAAATTGCCTGAGGCCTTTTCGAACAATATGCGGTCGTCATGGAAACATGTAATCGTCATGGAAATGATATAATAGGCATACGTACCAAGTTTCATCTCTATGCGTGCTACCATTGGAAAGTTTGAGAAGTGAAGAAGTTAATTTAAAGAAAAGTGCCTGAGGCTATTTGTTGTTATTTACAAACATGTATTGCTGGGATTTTGATGTTGGCTATTGAATACATTGTGTATACAAACTTTCGCTCGCATAACTCTTACCAATTGTGAGTTACACTGACACATGTAGTATGCCCATTATAACGTATTGCCCATTATAATGTATTGCCTGGGGCAATGTTGTTGTTGTTTACAGTAAACAACATTGTTTACAAACAAAAAAGTATGATGAGTCCCATGTGGTTATCGATATGTACATTCCTACAAAATTTCATGGTTTTATCTCTTTCGGTTTTTGAGTTACGCTGGTCGAAGAAGAAGAAGAAGAAGAAGAAGATGATGATGAATAAAACTCCCTATCATAGCCCCATACATCTATGATGCTAGGTACCATGTGTACCAAACTTGCTAATTGCAGCACGCATGGAGGTGAAACTTGGTGCGCATGTGTATTACATCGTTTCCATGACAACCTCCATGCGTGCTATAGTTAGCAAGTTGATTTTAATGAAAATTCCCTGAGGCTTTTTCAAACAATATGCGGTCGTCATGGAAACATGTAATCGTCATGGAAATGATATAATAGGCATATGTACCAAGTTTCATCTCTATTCGTGCTAGAACGAAAACGTCCTGAAACAACTGCGTTCGAGAGATATGTAATCAAGCGAAAAAAACAATAATTATGCAGAATCGCACTGGGCTTACCGCGACCTATGGTATGTACCTAGGTGTTATAGGAAGCATTGATAACAATTGATAACATAAAATGATTCCTTATAAAGGGTTACCAGAATTTTTAAAATGCATGGCTAGGCTTTCTTTTAATTTCACAACTTCTGACATATTATAATTATATAAGTCTGATTTGTATGGTCAAAAAGCATGCATATACCAACCAGATTGCTTATTAATTGCATAATCCAAAAAAGTTAACACCTTTTAAATTTAAATTCATAGGACCCTATTGTTAATAGCAATAATCGCATAGAACACCATTAGCTAGCTTGTGCAAGAATTCATTAAAATAAACATCTTTTCTGTCTCATACTACTGTACCCAGCCTTGAGAACTGGGGCGGGGGGTTAAAGAGTCTTTTACGGAATGCCAACTCTCCCCACACACCCAGTGTCCAAACCTCATGAAACAACCACGATGACAATATACAATATACTATACCCTGTCACTGTTATACAAATATTCTTTGAAAAAGCAAGGAGACAAGACCCAGGGATGACCTGGTAGAATGGATGATGGATACATATTTCAAACTGACATTGCTTGCTCCTTCACACAAGCCCTATACTTTTGCAAAGCATGAGTGTGCTCCTTTACACATGCACATGTGTTACCCTCTCTTACAGCTCCTCGGTTTGAGTTGTGACTGTGTTGTAAGAGTTCCATGTTTGCTCAACTAACCAGTTTCACAGTGCTGTGTTCACATAATCCCTTCACCATTTCCCTCACACTTCAAACCATAAACAGAGGAGGTTGGAAGAACTCACGTGAATTGCACGTGAATCACGGAAGAATGCATGGTCAGTGCCGCCAAGTTGCAACATGTAAAGTTTATGGCCGAGTTTTTAGCTCAAAAGTTGCAGGATCCGCTTCAAAGTGTTGAAAAAAGATACTGTATGTTCGCTCAGCTTAGTTATAAATCTCATGTACTGAGTGGCAGAGGGCGTGAAGCAATTGACCATAGGTAGAGGGGGGTTGGCCGGCTTTTCAGTACCTTCTGCCTAGGATACAACTACCTCTGTACAAAACTATGTCGATACCTGTATGACTTTGGTTCAGCGAGAGCTTTGTTTTTGCCATATATTTTTTACAGAAGAAAAAGTTTGACTCAGCAAAAATTGCAGTGGTGTTACGTAAGTTCCAACCTCCTCAATAACAATGTTGGCCATCATCCATTGTACTAATGCATCACATTCACTAGGTCATCCCTGTCTTGTCTCCGTGGTTATATACCATCCCTCTGAATTTGCTTGTCCCCTCTCCTTTTCTTACTGCATCCACAAGCATGGCGTGGAATAAGGAGCATACGTAATGCCCATAAAAAGTTAAACAATATGGTTTACAAACAAATCAATATGCTCTTGCACGACCCATCATGAATTCCAATATTTGTGCAAATATTCATCTCCTTATCTTGCATGGACTTTTTTAAAATATGGATCATGCAATTAAGCAATTTTGTACGTAGGTACATGCTTTTTGACCAGACAAATCAGACTTATATGTCAGAGGTTGTGAAATTGAATGTGAAACGTGAATCTCTTAAATGTAAGGGCATAATGCAAGACCCATGTCATCCCCATAATATTAAGTACTATGGAACTAAGTTATAGTAATTTTGTCATCAATAATAATTAATATCATAGTAAAATAACTTGCCAATTGTTCTCGCAAATCCAAAGTCACAGAGTTTAACAACGCCTCTCTTAGATATAAGGATATTTTCCGGTTTAACATCACGATGGATAACCTGCAAAAACGTAATACAGCATATGGAACACAGAACCAATGCCACACAGATTGGGTGAGCTAGTGTGAGTGTCTATGCAGTGCCCGCCACATAGAGAAGAAATTGCACAACAGCCGTAATGTAATCAAGTATTGTAGCTGCAAGAGGAAGGGCTAGGGCTAATCGTGGTAAAGGGATATGCCGTGCTGCTGTAGGACTGGCTCTTGTAAGTGGTGCACCTGTGTAAAGGCTGAAAACCCCTGCACAAACTACCCCACCCCAACCACTGACCCGCAATGTCTGCCATCGCCACTGCCTCCAACACTACCAAATATCCTGACCAGCCTACAAGTTACAGACAACGAATCCAGCACACAACTACCACCACCTGAAACAATCGTGTTCACGTGGGGAAATCATAGTGCTTTTGACATTTCCAACATCTTGGAGGCTACTTATTCCGAAGTAGTTCACTGGAGAAGAAACTGCTTCACTTTGCCCTTTGGCAAAGCTGGTAGGGAGTTTGTCAGTGAGCTATCAAAGCTTTACCAAGCCTTTGCCCCTGCCTCGGCTCTTGAGTCAATAGCGCTTAAAGCTGCCACAGTCCTCCAAATCCAAAAACCACAAAAAGCCTCCAAAGCCAAGGAGCATGCCACCTGTCTCAACAGGAGACTAAGATCCTGGAAAGGCAGGCTACTTCACACCAAAATGATGACCACACAGACCCAAGTACCACAGACTCTCCATCCAACAGTCCGAGATGTGCTGCTAAGTAAGCATCCTCCAATCTCTTCCTCCTCCCCCCCAGAAGGTACATTGATGCCAATGTCATTCGCTCAGCTGCGATGAACATCACCAGGTCTGCGGGACCATCTGGTACAGACGCACATGGGTGGAGGAGACTATGTACATCCTTCAAAGGGGCATCAAGGGAACTATGCCACTCCTTAGCCCTGGATGCAAGAAGAATATGTATATATACCTCATATGTTGACCCCAAATAAATATCACCTCTTCTGGTGTCTGACCAATAGGCATTGGGGATACTGCGAGGTGGATCTTAGCAAAAGCGGTGCTGTCAGTAATGAAACCCGACATCCAGGAAGCTTCAAGCTGTCTCCAAATGTGTGGGGGACAGATTTCTGGCGTCGAAGCTGCAGTGCACACCGTGAGAACCGCCTTTGACTGGCTATCCATTATGTGCAATCGCAAAGACTCAACCACATGCAGCTTACTCGGCTCTCACACATGGTGTTTCAAGCAAGTGGACCTACCTATGCCGTACAGTTCCCAATATCAGCAACCTCTTGAAGCCACTCGGCGACATTCTGCGATCCGATATCATTCCAACACTTACAGGAAGGCCCCCCATCTAGTGACTTGGAGCGTGCTCTGTTAGCCCTGCCAGCAAGAATGGGTGGGCGGGGAATAAAAATCCCTTCCATGCAAGCCTAACAGGAATATCAGTCGTCCTCACTGGTAACTTCTGCTCTCCAAAACCACATCATACTACAAGACGAGGCCTACGGGTACGAAGTTATTGCCGAGCAATTGGTATCCAAGGCCATTGTTAGAAATAAAAACAAGGAAAATCACTCAAAGGCTGCTGGAGATATGTTAGAACTCCTACCAGACAACCGGCAGAGGTCGGTTAAACTATATAGCAAGTGAGAAGGGATCCTCCACTTGGCTCACTGTCCTGCCATTTTCATAGCATGGCTTTGCCCTGCACAAATGAGCGTTCCACGATGCCCTGGCACTACAATATGGCTGGGCACCTGACAGACTTCCTTCGAAATGCATCTGCGGTGCCTCATTTTCTGTTGAACACGCTCTGTCCTGTGCCAAAGGTGGCTTTCCATCGATGAGATACGGGACCTGACAGCTACCCTCCTCACAGAAGTATGCATTGACGTGTGCATTGAGCCGGAGCTTCAGCTTGTGACAGATAAACAGGGTCCACGGTCAACTCACAGGCAGGTGCCCGCCTTGATATCGCTGCAAATGGTGTCTGGGGTGGTACCTTCGAGAGAATCTACTTTGATGTTAGGGTATTCAATCCTCAAGCCCCATCAAACAGACACGTCGATCTGCAATTGAAAGCACGAACAAATCAAGAAGCGTGCATACGAACAACGGATAAGAGTGGTTGAACATGCTACCTTCTCGCCTCTAGTGCTCTCTGCTGCTGGGCAGGGAAGCCAAAACATTTTACAAGAGACTAGCCTCCAAGTGGGACCACACCTACAGCCGCACTCTATGCTGGCTACGTTGTTGTCTAGCTTTCTCCCTTCTACGCTCCTCCATCCAGGCCATCAGAGGTGCAAGATCATCATGTGGACATACCACCAAAATGCCCATGGTGGTTGACCTAATCCATTCTGAATAACATCTTGCATCACTTTAAACTGCTATTCTGTTTGGACATCTCTGCCTATTACAATATATATACAACTTCTCATGTTTTACTGCTCTGAATTGTATATTTTTTCTGAAAGAGGAAGAGTCTCTGGCTGGTGTTCAGTTGGGCCAAAGAATGCCACTCACTATTGGCAGACTGGCGAGTTAGCGCGAGTAGTTCAATTTTCCCCGTGTATTTAGAGAACATTACAGTAAGTGCAGCGCCAGTCACATAATATTTTTTGGTGAGTTGGAACTAGCCAACCTAGTGGTAAAAACCTCTCCATTCAGTCTATCCGACTCTGCCACCAACACGTTGTTGATTGTATAATGTTCTGGCTTTCTTTGCTTTTTCAACCATGGTGTCCATAAATAGCACTTGAAAGTGTTCCATGTACAGAATGCCATGACCAATACAAAGATTTGTTTGTTTTTACTAAACTGAACACATGCTCTTCACCAGCATTGGAATGAGGATGAACAAGAACAGTCTAGCCTGCCGCCATTGACTTTCACCTTCTCCCTTACCCCCATTTAAATACACTTGACTTATCACCCTTCAACTTGCGTTTTTGCTGCTGACAATACATCATTTGGAATACCTGACTCTTGCAGGAGCTGAAACAATATATACTCCTTATGAGGATTGAAATTGAAGTGTCCATCTTGCCCAGCAACATATTCCACATCTCACATCTCTTTTGCAAGTACTAAGTAGAGCATCATCTTGTAGTGTAAATGCAGCCAATTCATACATCAAAGGACATTAAACTGCCAAACTTCTTCCAAAAATATTTCTGAATCATATTGAGATACAATATCCTGTACCAGTTTCATCAATTTCTGTTGAGTAGTAAGATTTTGGGTGGATACTTGATTATCTCGTGAACATTAAGAACAAATTGGCCATAAATGATCATTTCTCATGGACTAAGTGAATGATAATTATTCTCTTTATAAAAACAGAGGAAAAATCCAGTTTTCAGAAGACTAGGCGCATTCATCTACCACATTCATTATTCCAACACACTGGCACTTGGCTAAAGGTAAATGATGAAGGATTCCAGAGCTCAACCAACATTACAGACGGCAAAGAGAGACAATTAGCTAAGGGAAGAGAGAAACAGATGCTGTCATGCTTAAGACATCGTGGAGGCCCAGGAGCAGCAACTGGCAAGGGAGCATGCTCGCTGTGGACAGCGTCTTGCTTCTGAGACAGGGTAAGGAGTGACAGATTCGCACATGTCGGAATGTCGGGCACGGGAGAGAGCATAACTAGAAGAAAGCTAGTCCAATTAGTTTCCTCAGGAGGATGTGGGGAAGGAAGAATACTATCAAGGAACGGGCAACTGATTGCTCAATGAAAAGCACTGAAGTGCAAACCCTCGGCGCACTGTGACGCGCGCGCGTAAGTAAACGCATGCGCCGTACCACTAATTGATGGGCTGGGTTTAGTTAGCTGTTACTCGTGGTCTAGTCTCTTGCCAGCTCGCGCAGAGTCTGACGCAGGCTAACTACACTACTAGATAGCATACGAGAGGCCCTGCGTTGCATCTTCTGGTGCCTCCGAGGTACGCAGAGCACGCGGATCGATCATGCCGTAGTAAGCCGTGCATATTGGCTTTTTCCCGCTCTAGCTTAGCAACGGAGCGTTTTCAGAGAAAACCGCCTTTATTTTCTGACCTTCGTCGCCCGTTGGGTAGATGGTATCGTTCTGGGACGAAAAGACGTTCGAGGAGTGAGATATAGAGTAACAGACAGACTACCCTCGCTGCGCATGCGCGCCGAGGGTAAACTAGAAGAATGGTAGCCTAGTCAGTTTCCTCTGTAGGATGAGGAGGAACACTATGTGGAGAAGGAAGAAGACTATTGAGGAACGGGATTGGATAGTGTTAACCCCTCAAGGCCTTGCAATACTTCATCTGTCACATTTTGTACGCGCCGAACTCTATAATCATGAGACGACTAGTCTTGGAAACCACGCAATTTAGGAAGCCTCTGGCCCTTTAGCAGCGTCAACAAACCAAAAATCACCTATGAAATGTACCTTTCTCCACTGAAGATGTACGGCACAAAGATGTAATTACAAATCATGCAGTTATGTGCACTTTCATCTGAAACAGTGCAGTGTCCGTGTATACACATGCATGTTAAAATAAAATGAGGCCTTGTCACAGGTTTGGTCGAACCAGTGTATTGCATAAAAAGGAAGGCTTCATGGAAAAAGGTAATTAATAACATCTCATCTCACATTGTGCAAATGACAGAACTCCACTCCCTTTAGAACTTGCCACATAATCTTCTTGACATAGCTTTCTTCAGCACCATTAGGGAAGCGCTCTAATTCATCTAATGCTGTATGATCAACAAATTCAAAAACTAAGTACAGTCGTCTCTTTCGCCTGAACACCTCCAAGAGATTTATGAGGTTCTCATGACGTACTTGCTATAGAAGAAAGAGTTACTGTTAATTAAGCTATATTGCACCTAATTATACATACCTTTAGCATTTTAACTTCTCTGAGAGCAATCTTCCTCACCACTTTGTCATCTTCTGTCTCCAAAAACTTTTTGATTGCAACTACTTGTTTAGTTTCCTATACAGATCAAAAACGAGAGTGCTGTGCAAAAATTTATAACTCCACTAACCTTGTGCCTGCATTTCATTACCATGCCATATGACCCTTCCCCCAGCACACCCACGTTCTCATACTTCTCCATAACTTCTAGCTCTACCAAGCGAAACAACTGGTGTTGCTACCCAAACCGCCGTTGCCAGGAACAAGCACTATGAATAAGCCAATTGTGCCGCCTACGTCTCTCCACACTAGCCTACCCACAACTCTAGCTCTAGCTCCGGTCATGATCCCTAGCCGGCCCCCGGCCACGCAAAACCAGGTCCGCGAGCGTCTTCCCTACAGCAGCGTCCCGTGTGCTTCTATATATACGTCAAACGAGGTCCAGCTCCGCCCCATCACAGCAGCGGGGGTGAGCGGCGGCGAGCGAAGAGGCAAGGAGACAAGACTGGATGCATATTATATTACCGTTCGTGTAAATACAAGTAAAGGTCCCTGTGGCCGGTTGGAAACGATGGGAGAGCGAGTTTTACCCGGCCAGATAGCCTGTCCTCACCCTCGGCGCGCATGCGCAGCGTGGGTTACTATCAAAAAACGAGTGATGGTATAAAAAACAAGATAGGGATGGTGTTTGTGGAAGCACAGAGATGCTAGCGAGGAGTTAAGGACTCCCACAGGTCATTACAACAGCCCTATATCGTCGTATCGGTGCTTGACCACGGAGTAAAATCTTCCTCGCATAAGTATCAGCAACCCTGCATACTTGAATTTGGTTTTCTCGTATTATCTTATGCTTTCCATGTAACGATGTACATTATTTTGGTCAGCTGATTATTATGACAGTACACATAACTGCTTGCACCTTGATGTGCATACACTCCATGGGAATGTAGCATGACAGATCGATGACAACACTCATTATTAAAGTAGTACAGTACTTAGCAATACTCTTTCATAACCTTCACTCCCACGGTATGACGATATAGGGCTGTTGTAATGACCTGTGGGAGTCCTTAACTCCTCGCTAGCATCTCTGTGCTTCCACAAACACCATCCCTATCTTGTCTCCCTTTCTTTTTATACCATCCATGCACTCTCTTTTTAATCCGCAGGATTTTTTATTTACTATATCTCTGTGGAAGGGGGCAAGCCCCTATAAAAATTAATAATAGAAAAAAATGCCTGTTGTCGTCATGGAAATGAAATGCATACAATCTATGTGTGCTGCCATTAGCAAGTTTGAGGAGTGAAGAAGTAATTACAAAGAAAAGTGCTTGAGGCCATTTGTTGTTGTGGTCATCATGGAAACGATGTAATACACATGCACCTCCATACGTGCTACAGTTAGCAAGTTTGAGGAGTGCAGAAGTAATTACAAAGAAAAGTTCCTGAGGCTATTTGTTGTTGTGGTCGTCATGGAAACGATGTAATACACATGCGCACCAAGTTTCACCTCCATGCGTGCTATAGTTAGCAAGTTTGAGGAGTGAAGAAGTAATTTTAAAGAAGAGTGCCTGAGGCTATTTGTTGTTGTGGTCGTCATGGAAACGATGTTACACACTTGCGTACCAAGTTTCATCTCCATGCGTGGTACCGTTAGCGAGTTTGAGGAGTGAAGAAGTAATTTAAAGAAAAGTGCCTGAGGCTATTTGTTGTTGTAGTCGTCATGGAAATGATGTAATACACATGCAAGTTTCATCTCCATGCGTGCCACAATTAGCAAGTTTGAGGAGTGAAGAAGTAATTTAAAGAAAATTGCCTGAGGCCTTTTCGAACAATATGCGGTCGTCATGGAAACATGTAATCGTCATGGAAATGATATAATACGCATACACACCAAGTTTCATCTCTATGCGTACTACCATTGGAAAGTTTGAGGAGTGAAGAAGTAAATTTAAAGAAAAGTGCCTGAGCCTATTTATCACTAAGTACGGTAGTACTTAGTATTATAGGGATTGGCATGGTACCTAGCATCATAGATGTATGGGGCTATGTTGTTGTGATTTTGATGTTGGCTATTGAGTCCATTATGTATACAAACTTTCTTTCACATAGCCCTTACCAATTGTGAGTTACACTGACACATCTAGTATATGTATTGCCCATTATAATGTATTGCCTTTGGCAATTTTGTTGTTGTTTACAGTAAACAACATTGTTTACAAACAAAAAAGTATGACGTTGCACATGTGGTTATCGATATGTACATTCCTACAAAATTTCACGGCTTTATCTCTTTCGTTTTTTGAGTTACGCTGGTTTAAGAAGAAGATGATGAACAAAACTCCCTATCATAGCCCCATACATCTGTATGGGGCTATGATAGGGAGTTTTGTTCATCTTCTCCTTAATTCTCCTTCTTCTTCTTGATTCAACACCCATAACTCATAAACGAAATAACATACAGTAATGAAATTTTGTAAGAATGTAGATATCCGTCACCCAGAGAGACTGGTCATACTTTGTAACCAAGATTGTTTACTGTAAACAACAACAAACAGCCCCAGGCAATACATTATAAAGGGATCACATGTGTCAGTATAACTCACAAATGGTAGGAGCTATGTGAACAAAACTCTGTAGACATAATGCACTCAATCACCAACATTGCCACAATACATGTTTGTAAACAACAACAAATAGCCTCAGGCACTTTTCTTTAAATTTACTTCTTCACTCCTCAAACTCTCAAATGGTAGCACACATAGAGATGAAACTTGGTAAGTAGCTATGCCTATATCATTTCCATGACGACCGCAGTTTGTTTGAAAAAGCCTTTAAAATCACTTCTTCACTCCTCAAACTTGCTAATTGTAGCACGCATGGAGGTGAAACTTGGTGCACATGTGTATTGCATCGTTTCCATGACGACCACAAGGCACTTTTCTTTAAAATTACTTCTTCACTCTTCAAACTCGCTAACGGTACCACGCATGGAGATGGAACTTGGTACGCATGTGTATAACATCGTTTCCATCACGACCACAACAACAAATAGCCTCAGGCACTTTTCTTTAAAATTACTTCTGCACTCCTCAAACTTGCTAACTGTAGCACGTATGGAGGTACATGTGTATTGCATCGTTTCCATGACGACCACAACAATAAATAGCCTCAGGCACTTTTCTTTAAAATTACTTCTTCACACCTCAAACTCGCTAACGGTACCACGCATGGAGGTGAAACTTGGTGTGCATGCGTAATACATCGTTTCCATGACGACAACAACAACAAATAGCCTCAGGCACTTTTCTTTAAAATCACTTCTTCACTCCTCAAACTTGATAACTGTAGCATGCATGGAGGTTAAACTTGGTGCGCATGTGTATTACATCGTTTCCATGACGACCACAACAACAAATAGCCTCAGGCACTTTCCTTTAAAATTACATCTTCACTCCTCAAACTTGTTAACGGCAGCACTAATGCATTCATTTCCATGACGACAACAGTTTCTCTATTATTAATTTTTTATAGGGGCTTGCCCCCTTCCACAGAAATAATACGTAGTACATGTATTATATAAAAATGAGTGGAGACAAGCAAATTAAAAATCTTGCGAATTTAAAAAAGAGGCATAATATAGGGATTGTATAAAAAGAAAGGGAGACAAGATAGGATGGGATACATGAAGCATGGTTAATGAACAGATTTGAGTACGCTGACACCCCCAACCCCATCACACAATCCCTATATTGTTGCCTAGGTGAAGTATTAAACATTCACCAATACTCAGAACTTACAATACACTACTGAGTAACCAACACCCTTATAGAGCCCAAGTGGAGTTTAATTAAAGGGAATGTGGCAGTATAAATGTTACTAAAAACAACAGGGACGCGGTGAAAGAATTAATGCTTGCTTTTAGTAACCTTTAGAGGAGCACATCAGGCAACAATATAGGGATTGTGTGATGGGATTGGGGGTGTCAGCGTGCTCAAATCTGTTCATTAACCATGCTTCATGTATCCCATCTCTATCTTGTCTCCCTTTCTTTTTATCCATCCCTATATGACTCTTTTTTTAAATTCGCAGGATTTTTAATTTACTTGTAGTCTGTGTTACCACGTTTTCTGGCACCACGCGCAAGAAATCGCGATAGTAACGGGTTCAGTGCTACACTGGCATTTAATTTTGAAAAGGCATAACATAAAACTACTGCGTTCTAAAGTTATGGCACGAACACCAAGCGAACAAGTCATTAGCACAGGCTTACCTCATTGGGTCTCGCTCTGTGTCTTAGGAAGTCACAACGAAGGGCGTGTATGACTCCCGCATGCTATTTGCTACAGCTTTTGTTTGAGGACCCAAAGTAAAGTAACACACTTTTAAATGCCTGAGGATGTTTGTTGTTGTTTACAAACTTGTATATATGTAATTACTGTTTCGATTTAACTCCTACTATGATAAATCAATGTACCGAGTTTCATTGTTAGAGGACCCACCATAAGCAAGTTATAGGCACAAACGTTTTTATTGCCCGAGGCTGTAAATTATGTTTCGATTAACTCCTACCATAAGTCAGTGTGAGGACCCTCCATCAAGTAAATAAAAAATTCTTCGAATTAAAGAAGTGTGGAATATATGGATGCCATAAAAAGCAAGGAGACAAGATAGGTATGACCTAGTGAAGTATAGTACAATGGATTGGCTACATTCTTTGAACTGACATCGCTTGCTCGTGTAATTTCCTCGACACAAGCCCTATATTGTCGCAATCGCAAAGGATACACGGTTATGATTTACTTCATAAGCACATTAGAGAGGTAATACCATCTATATACTTGGTTTTTAGTAGTACAATGGATGATGGTTACATCTTCAAACTGATCATTTCTTGCTCGTGTAAATTTTACTCCACACAAGCCCTACATTATCGCAAAGCACAAGTGATCTCTATTGTATGATGTGAAGCTATGACTCGTATCCTATGCACGTAAGACCGGTAGCTAATGCCCTCTTCGACTGGTCCTCAGTTTTGAATCGTGACTGTATTTGTAGTCTATTACTTCAATGTTCACTCAACTAACCAGTTGTATAATGCTGCTTTCTATACAGAACCCCCTTGGCAGTCTTCACACTAGTACATCATTCACTATAAACAAACGATGTATGTAAGAGTGCCGACAATATAGGGCTTGTGTGGAGTAAAATTTACACGAGGAGTTTGAAGATGTAACCGTCATCCATTGTACTACTGCATCACATGCACTACGTAGGTCATCCCAGTTTTGTTTCCTTGCTTTTTATGGCATCTTTTTTTGAAACTTGTAGTGTTCCTGTTACACCTACGTGTATCAGAGCAATAATAGTATACTCTTGCTCCCTGCTCCTACAGCTGTACAGACTTACAAAAACCTAGAACAAAATAATTGTGCAGAGAGAGTAGTACATGTTGTTACGACTCCTCAACTTTGGAAATAATGAAGTTCATCATTAAAAGTCACGTATGCGTATAAATAAATCTCTGTCAAAAAAGTCGTTACCTAAAAAGATTATCAGAATAGCAAAGAAACACGTGCCGAGATAATAATACCCTAGACTTAAATAAGTGTGTTTTAAACAGTGAATTTGTGCCGGCTGGTTGATCCAGCTTTAGTTGAAACATCAAGATGACTCTGGAGAAAAAAGGCTTTGGTATTCTTGCAACATCAAAATGCTCAAAGCTTACTTGATACACAAGAGACACCTTTCCCTTAACATGTATCTGAAGTCGCTCTTTGTAAGTTCGCCTACAAATTAAACAGAATATTGCTAAAAATTCTAAGAATATGCAAGAAGAGTGCAAAAAAGTATGCAGTTTTAAAGTTTAGTATCCAACAACAAAACCCATCGGGTGAGTCAACATAATATATAATTATACATGGCCAGATTTCTTCCATGCCATAGAGGAAAATTGGTTTTGGTGCCTGTTTCTGACAATTTACCTCTATGGCATCTAAGAAACCTAGCCATGCATGTATTCTTTTTGAGGACTGACCTAATTGATTACTGTTTATAGCACAGTTGAACCGCACGTGATTCATAGTAATTTTTTTATTGGATACTGTTTTACATTCTCTGTTGGAACAGAGCTACCGTAGCAACATGCTTGTTCAATGCAGGAGTGGACGAACAACTCATTATGACATGAACCAGTCACTCAAGTACTACTGGTGGCTTCTCTAAACATGTCACAAATACTACTACATTATAAGCTGATGCTACCGCAAAGGGTGAAGGGCTTCATGTACCAAAAACATCATCTTGCAACGTTTCGATCCCTTCTTCAGGCAAGTGAATACACATGCAGATGCTGCCTATTATATAGGTATATTTTAACATGTTATTGTCAGGTGACAGATGTCTTGTACCAGGCAGATGGGGGCTGTCCGCGATGGTGTTCTGTGGGTACCTACTCGTCTAGGTTCAGCCCCTCAGGAGACAGAGTTCTCAGTGTAAAAATCCAAAAGCTTTCTATTCTCTCCTCCGTAGAGTACCTCCATGGTGGATCTTCTCCATGCCCCTGACTTCTACATCTTTTGTGTGGTGGTCTCGTCGGCAGAAATGGGCTGCTACTGGTTTATTAGTTTTTTTTGGTCTGGATATCTGAACGTGTTCGTTCATCCTAATGTGTAGAGGCTGTTTTGTCTCTCCCACATATTGTAGATTGCACCTTTTGCATGTTATCAGATACACAAGGTTGCTCGATTTGCATGGCATCTCGCTTCTGATTTTGTACGTCCTGCCGGTGGTTGTGCTTGAGAACGTATTGCAGGTGACAATCTCCGCACAGCACTTGCAGTTCCTACCCTCACAGGGAGAGTTGCCAGCGAGGAGGGATATGGACTTGGTGTAGATATGCTGGCATGGCCTAGGAGGTCTTTCAGATTGCGTGGTCGTCTGAAGGCAAGCATGGGGGGTTGGGGGAGGGCTTTTCTGAGTTTCTTCGATGTGTGCAGGATAGGAAAGTCTTTCGTCAACACTGTTGGTAGGTTGTTTAGTGAAGGATGGTAGGTGATGACTAGGGGGGTTCTGTCCGGTCTACTACGAGCGTGGCATTGAAGTGCCACATGACGAGGGACTACTGCTGTTCTTGGTCAATCAGATTCCTTGTACCCTCGAGATAGTAAATATTCTTTCAATTCTCATGCTCTATGTTTAAAATCTCTGTCCCTCGAGCAGATCCTCCGTAGCCTAAGACCCTGGCTGTATGGGATGGAAAGGGTGCAGTGTCTCGGATGACAGCTGTTGGGGGAGAGATATTATGGGTGTCTGTTGGTTTAGTATGTAGATCTGTGTGGATAACTGACGTTCCCCTCGAGGATGACTGTGGTGTCCAAGAAGGCGACACTTTTGGTGGAGTGCTCACATGTAAATTTGATGGTTGTGTGGAAGTTATTTATCTTTTCAAGGAAGATATCCAATGCCTCTTGGCCATGTTGCCAGATTGCAAACACATCGTCGATATAGCGCCACCAGACGACCACGCAATCTCAAAGACCTCCTAATCCGTGCCAGGATATCTACACCAAGTCCATCCCTCCTCACTGGCAACTCTCCCTGTAAGGGTAGGAACTGCAAGTGCTGTGCGGAGATTGTCACCTGAAATACGTTCTCGAGCACAACCACCAGCAGGACGTACAACATCAGAAGCGAGATGGCATGCAAATCGAGCAACCTTGTGTATCTGATAACATGCAAAAGGTGCAATCTACAATACGTGGGAGAGACAAAACAGCCTCTACACATTAGGATGAACGAACACGTTCAGATATCCAGACCAAAAAAAACTGATAAACCAGTAGCAGCCCATTTCTGCCGACGAGACCACCACACAAAAGATGTAGAAGTCAGGGGTATAGAGAAGATCCACCATGGAGGTACTCTACGGAGGAGAGAAAGAGAAAGCTTTTGGATTTTTACACTGAGAACTCTGTCTCCTGAGGGGCTGAACCTAGGAATAGGCACCCACAGAACACCATCACGGACAGCCCCCATCTGGACATCTGTCACCTGACAATAAACATGTTAAAATATACGTCTATATAATAGGCAGCATCTGCGTGTGTATTCACTTGCCTGAAGAAGATCCCACAGGGATCGAAACGTTGCAACATAATATGTTTGGTCAGTTTGCACACAAAGCCCTTCACCCTTATTGGTAGCATCAGCTTATAATGGACCCGTACGGGCTTCGGCTGGGGAGTTCGGTTGTTATGGGACCAGACTAAGATTTAACAAATACTACTACGTGAGAAAACAGCTAGCTTCTAAAATTCCATCTCTCCACTGTAACGTAACTCAAAAACAGCTAAGGCACAACAGACTACAGCTAAGGAATACAAGCCACAACAGCCTACAGCTATTGGGGAGAAAGAGAAAGAGAATTCTGAGCCAGTAAAACCAGCTGCTACGTATATATCTTTTTCTGGTGCTACAAACTTTACTGTCAACTTCATTTAAATTAGCTATGCATTCTTAGAATTTAAAAATTCTCACACGTTGTTTTGTAACTCACAAAACCATTTATGTAACCTCAAACCACGAGTTACTAAGTTGACCCTATGGGATGGAGGTAGCTCTACGCAACTATCAAAGCATGATATGCATGCCATAGTCTAAGTTATGGAAGACGACAGATGTGCACTCACCCTATATGCAGAATGTCATCTGCCTTCTCTACATTTCCTGTCCATATTGCCATCTTGTCACCCTTGCTTCTTATCTGAACAACTGAACCACAAACCTCATCACTACTGTCATCAAAGCCCTCTCCTATCAGACACATGAGCTATACAGGAAAAAAGAACTATTTAAAAACATGCTTTATGTAAGAAAACATTTAAAATGAGCGTGTTGTGATCAAATATTGCCAATTCTTTCCACGTGTGTGTGGTCGACGGGTTCTACAGAAGTGGGCAGTTTTGTAATAGGGTGAGGGTGCAGCCAGAGCGGTATATCAAAATTGAAGCCACGAGTGTGCAACCCAGTAGACCACGAGCAAAGCATCGTATACGTTTGTATGGGGGATGAGGCTCTGGCAAACGAGATTCTGCAAAAGGTTTGACTATTTTCAGTGCACACTACTATGTAGCAAAAAGGGATCGACCCGGAGAGAAGGCCGCAAACTATGTAGTTGTGCCATTTTGACTCGTAAGCCAGTTAGTTCCTCAAGAGTCCAATGTTTTATCACTTGACCTCATGCAAGTTTTTATGCCCCGTTAGCCCGGCTCGCTTACTCTTACCCGCCATAAAATATCACCGCTTCTGCTAACAAGAGTGGTGGGAAGCAGTTTGTGCTATTTTCACGGAATGTGTACCTAAAATCGAGTATCCCTTCGTTCGCTCGAAGTTGAAATCTGCTGCCATTCATGATCTTCTGACAAAGAAAAGGGGCACACAAGACCCGTAACCTAATTGCATTCAAAGCTGCCAATTTTTTACTATCGTCTAAACTTCATAAACAAACTGTGTTCGATGTAAATGAGCTCTTTAGGTGTACCGTAGACACAGCATGAAGCACTCACTATCGCACCTACATACAGTTCAGACAGTTTGGATGGTACACTTAGTCATTATGTAAATTAAATGAACACTGTAACGAAAACTTGGGTGACTGCGCACATGAGACACTTGCCAAAAATGTAAAAATCCAAACTTATCATATATAAAGTGATGAGAATGTTGCTTGACAAAAAACAACATTATCAAAATCAGTTAGACTGATGATTTAACTCTATTGTTGCCTAGGTGAAGTATTTAACATTCACCACTATGTATTTCAGCAGGACCTATAATTATAGCTTTATAAAACAGGAAACAACCATGTCAACTGAGCGAAAAAGTGTAATTCTACTGAATAACTAACCACCACTGTTAAGAGTTAAAACAAGGCTTGAGAGTGGCACTCTAGGCAACAATTATAGGGATTATGAGATGGGTTCCAAGTTGTTATCATGCTCACAATCTGTTTGTAAACAGTGCTTCATACATCCCATCCCTATCTTGTCTCCCTTACCTTCTATAACATCCCTAAATTCCTCCTTTTTTTTTATTCGCAGGATTTTTGTATGCATAATATGTCAACAACAAGGTAATAATAATAATAATAATACAAGGTAACGAGGGAGGCCAAGCAAGCAAGTCAACTACACCCAGTACAGCTCTTTCTTTTCTGATGTGATTTCAGGGTTAGGCGGACTGGGTGATATAGTGTGGGCAGACACATTCATACACAGCAGTACTGCACATATGCACGGAGTACCGCTAAGTGACAGACAACAACACTGTCTAGCTGCCCATTCTTTCGCTTTCATATGGGCTAGGTAAATCAGTAGGGAGAGAATAACATAAACCTAATTTACCTTCTGATGTCTTGACTAAGAATTGGCAAGGCTCAGAAGCATAATTATTAGCTCTTCTGCTTGGTTTTCAAACCATAACCTTCATAATGCAGTACTTTACCAGTATAGAGCAGAACCTGTTGCCAGCACTTCGTCTTTTGTTTAAAATGGAAAGGAAAGTAAGGCAGACAAGAAAGGGATGGGATACATGAAGCATTGTTAACGAATAGATTTGATCACGCTGACCCCCGACCCCATCAAACAATCCTTACAACATTAAATAGGGTCGTTTTTTCTTTCTCGCTCGGCGGGTTAAGGCATTCTTTGACGGACAAGAGCCTCGCGTGGAGACAAGCTGAGATGACCGAGGAGACGCCAGGTCCGAGCGAAAAAGGGGGGCCGGATGGTACCTTCACTCAAGCCCAGCTGGACACAATCGCAGCGGTGGTGCGGGGCGTTCTGAACGAAGCTCTCCCGAAGGGTGGAACCCCTCGTCCAGATGGCGGGAGCGACTCGGCCGCCGCAAAAGGTGAGTGCTGTGTTGGTATACAGGCGCGTGCAGGGCTGGGGGGCGGGGGTGCAGCGGGCACCCAGGGTTGAACCCCTCATTAAAAATATGCAGGTGTGGAGCTGGGGAGTATGCCTCCAGCGGACTGGGACTCCCAATCTCCGGCAGGAGGTGAGCATCACCTCCAAGTTGCACCGAGTTTGGTGGGCCAACGGTTATAAAATCATCAGACAGTGCGGCAAACGCATTTGCTGCACTTATCCCACTGCTGACATCAGCCTCAGGTGCCTCATCACAGGACAGTCCGGTAGGGGACGAGCCATTGCGATACTTGGTGGTTAAGGGTCTCCCAACAATCCCTATGAAATTAGCGGAGAAGTTTCTCCCAGCTCCGAGAGTCCTACGTTTAGCCGAGCTGAGCCCAAAGGCCTCGTCTCTGCAGGACAGCTTGGTAAGAGCCCTGAGCCATTTTCAAGCACTGCAACAACACAAGGCCAAACGCCGTGTGGCTGACATCACCACTTGGATCCGTTGTTTTACGCTATACATGGCGGTTCTATCCAAGAAAAAAGCCGAGGTTGTGCCGAACATGGTGGCTCACCTCCACCAGAAGGCATCCTACCAGATAGCGTGGCTGGAGTATGACGTACAGTTTCGAATGGAGATAGCAGCGTCACCAGACCGGTCATGGTCATGTGGGGACCCATGGCAGTATATACCTCTCATGCCTACCGTAGGATCACCCGTCGAATGATCCGTTTGACGTATCAGAGCAGGAGCCGGAAGGCCGGTACAAAGGAAAAGGAAAACGCCCACTGGAGCAGGAAGGAGAGAAGGGGAATCCCCCAGCAAAACAACTTGTCAAAAAAGCCAAAAAGGGGGTGTGCCGGCTGTATAACACAGCCCCCAACAGCTGCCCATATGGGAAGGACTGTATCTTCACCCATCGTTGCACCAGCTGCGGGGCGACTGACGAGCATGGGCGGATAGCATGCCCCGATAGCCCCGCCAACCCGGCTTGGGCTCCCACCGACTATACCTCGGCGCCAGCCACGAGGAGGTAGTTAACGCTTCGGAGGCCCGGGTCCCGCAGTCCCGTGAACTACTGCCAGTTGCACCCCGTACCTCAGTCTTGTTATAGTTACCTGTAACACCTTATTACAAGTAACACATTACCATGTTCTGTCTATGCTATGATAAATAAATAAACAATGCATATCACGTGGCATAGGGGGCAGGGCTGGCGCGAGGGTAGCCAGCAGGGCCCCACGTGAGCTGGAGGTCGAGTCTGCATAATTCCTCATAACTCTGCAGGTGCAGGCATATACCCCTACACTCACAACTTGTGGGAGTTTGAGCAGAAGACAGGAGATAGCCCAGCACCAAACTGGTTGCGGAGGATTGCTACGCCATTGACTTTCCCAGAGTGGAACAAGGTTCTGGAGACCCACCAGATGATGAGTTCAGGGCCTACATCCTCAATGGCATCCGCAATGGCTTCCGCATTGGCTTTGACCGGAGCATTGCCTGCCACCAGCCGCCACCAATATGAAATCAGCCCTGGAGAACGCGGAGGTAGTCCGGGAATACCTCTCAAAAGAGATCTCCCTCGGCAGGATCATTGGTCCAGTGGGCCAGGAGGCAATACCGCCAGGCACCCAGGTCAGCCCCTTCGGGGTCATCCCGAAGTCCAGCCAGCCAGGAAAATGGCGGCTGATCGTTGACCTGTCGAGTCCAGAGGGGGCCAGTGTGAATGTTGGCATCAACCAGGAGTTGTGCTCCATGACCTACCTACCTGCGTTTGGACGAGGTGACGGACCGCATTGCCCGGAGCGGCAGGGGTTCGCTTCTGGCCAAGCTAGATATCGAGAGTGCATACCGCATGGTACCCATCCACCCCGACGATAGGCCCCTGCTGGCAGTGCGATGGGCAGGAGGTTATTTCTTTGATACCCGGTTGCCATTCGGCCTAAGGTCGGCACCGAAAATTTTTACTGCGGTGGCCGATGCGCTGCAATGGGCATTTTTGGAGGAAGGGGTGTCATGGGTAGCCCACTATTTGGATGATTTTATAACCGTTGGCCCACCAAACTCGGTGCAACTTGGAGGTGATGCTCACCTCCTGCCGGAGATTGGGAGTCCCAGTTGTTCCAGAGAAATGTGCAGGCCCATCGGAGTCGATCGTGTTTCTGGGCTTCGAGCTGGACGCGAGGGCAATGGAGGTTCGCTTACCACAGGCCAAGCTGCAGCGTATCCAGAGGCTGATCCACGGATGGCTGAGGAGAAAAGCCTGCCAAAAGCGGGAGTTGGAATCGCTTCTAGGTCACCTTCAGCATGCGGCTACAGTTGTTCGGCCAGGCCGCATGTTCGTACGGCGGCTAATCGAGCTCGTGTCTACCTTCAGAAACAAGTCCCACTGGATCAGACTAAATGAATCGACACACTCGGATATCTACTGGTGGCACTCCTTCATCGAGGAATGGAATGGCATTTCGATAATGCCAGGCTCCCTAGCCGGCAGTGCCGCCCCTGGAGACCGATGCGTCAGGTGGATGGGGCTGCGGGGCTCGCTGGGGGAACAAGTGGTTCCAACTGAAGTGGGAAGGCCAAGTGGTGGAGTGGGGCATTGCACCCAAGGAGCTACTACCCATCTTGTTTGCTCTAGTGGTGTGGGGAAGGCGGTGGCAGGGAAGGCGAATCACCTGTCGCTGCGACAATATGGCAGTCGTGTCAGTAGTCAATTCGGGCAGGGAAAAGGACAGCATCCTTATGCATCTGTTGCGGTGTGTGTTCTTTGTGGGAGCTAAGTTCGGCGTGAATGTACGGGCAGAGCATGTACCTGGGGCTGAGAACACAGCAGCAGACGCCCTGTCACGTGAAAATATCCCCATCTTTATGCAGGTGGTGCCAGAGGCGGAGAGTCAACCAACCCCAATCCCA